TCCAATTAGTTCGATGGAAAGGAAATTCTGGTAAGAAATCAACATAAAGTTACCCGTACAATTGAACTCTACTCAGACAGAATACAATATATTTCTCGAAGTATATTACTCCTAATTCCATTTTGGGACATTCCAAAATAGAACTCCGTTTCCTAACAGAATATTTTTATAAGTACCCTTCACTCAAAATAATGAGATTGGCAATTTTTCTTTTTCTTTTGTAATTTTTTTTTTTTTTTTTTTGTTATTATTATTATTATTTTTTTGTTGCAACTCTCATCCAAAATTTTCAATTCCTGACAAAATAGGAATCATAGGAGCTATAATTTTGAGATGGAGTACCATACAACTGCACATAAAATTATAAACAATGTACTTGATCAAATGGGTATATATTCTAAATTAAATGCATTAGTTCTTACCAAGCCAGTGCCGTACGTCTCTGTTTTTGCATATCTTCTGGGAAATATCTTGAAATCAACCGCCAGAATAGCGAGGGATGTCGCAAGCATCTACATAAATTCATAGTCTTCACCAAAAATTTCAACAAAAATCCTATTCAAAATAACGCAACCTGCCTATCTAATGACGTACCATGGAAACCCTATAAGATGAGATATTCACCCTAACAGAGTCCATATAACCTTCCTGCAACAATGAAGATCGATTTCTGTTCGGACGATTAAATTAATTCCAACTAAATGTATCCATATAAGAATTACTATAAAACAATTTTCAGAATCAATGAAGCCATTCAGACATCTTACTTATCAATCTTTAGATCTCACAGGTTTACCTATCAAATGTTCTCAGGAAAAGCAGCAGCACAAATACCAGGATGGTGATCCCATAAGTGAAGTCTGCCAGAACCTGTCAATGGCTAGTCACTTTGTCAACTAGAATCACGACACATTTTTCTATATCTGATAAAAATTTAAAAGCAAAGAAAATCACTAATATCTGATAACAGTTCTCGAAAATGTAGACCACGAATATTAATAGTAATGTAGATATTTTCTTTTGTAATCCTTCTATCTCAAAACATTCTACGGCAACAAAAAAAAACTGCAATTTTTCAAAATCGCTAGTGTCTATGAAGTTCGGGGATCAGAAACTAATCACATAGGTTTAAACACTTTCTACAACTTTTGGAGATAAGGAATACTTACAGTCAGAAATAAAGTATAAGGAACAACAATGCAGAGAAAATCGACAATCAAAGCCAAAGTGTAGGCTTTCAAACCCTTGCCACCGGTAGCAGCATTATCATCTTTCTTAACAGAACCTGATAAAAACAAAGAGACAGGAATTAAAAGCGATATTTGGCAATAAATACAAAACATTACTACGAGCTAAACAACAATGAATCCTTAAATTGTACTGTAAAATGAATCTCCAGTATAATTACCACAACTGATCCAATTGAATCCGATGCAATGCCTAATCAAAATCAAAATCTGGCAAAACAGAAACACAATCATTAGATTACAATCTAAAACACACTGGAAAAATAGAATATATTTTGATGCTCACCGAAAAATTTGCGAGGAGAGAGAAAATTTCGAGCTTGGAAGACCCTGTTAAATTGCTCACAAATCTGAAATGAAACAAAACAAAACAAATTGAAGCAGCGTAGAAGATTGTATGATCTCAATTTGAGTGAGTAGGTTTTGGATTGTGCTTACTCCTCTTTGAGATGTTTATTGGGATTGAAGGACTCCATGGATGAGTTCGAGTTGAGCTTTGGAACTGTTGCAGCAGAAATCGAAATCGAATGGGGGTGGAGTTATATTAGGCCCGTTCAAAATGTAGGCCCGAATAAAACTACCAATTTATTGTTCCTTGGTCAGGCCCGATCTCTACAGGTCAAGAACCAGACAACCTGCAATCTCTTTTTTTTTCTTTTATTGTTCATAATTCTCTTTTTTCCTTTTTCTTTTTTGTTTTTTGTTTTTTTATTTTTTCTTTTTTTTTTTCTTTTTTTCCTTTCAAGAGATGGCATCATGGCATAGTCTCATGTAATTATCGACAAATTATCTACCTAGCCCGATCAATCGGTTTCGCTGAATATTGAAAACTGAAATAATTTGTGCAGGCACATATTAAACAGTCAGGCACATTTTTTATCATTTTTCAAAAAACAAAAAGTAAAAAACTCAAAAACTCTCTCTACCCTTTCGATTTTCTTCCGCAAAGCCCGTGCAAATCGTTTAACCCGTGGGTATTGGGGGGCCGTAGTCCGCGTATGAACTGCCGTCTTAGCAAGGAAAACTTTGTTCCCTTTTCTTTTT